TCGTGATTGACATCCGAAAACTTCACAAAAGTAACAATGTGGATTTGAGCCTTATTTTTCGATATTTTTTCTCATGCTCAGCTTCGAAGATTTTTATTCAAGAGAAAAAATTGATATAATGAGTATTTCCTATTACCTTATTCAAATGTTTTCCTGTGTGAATAGTTCTATGAAATGTATAGCCATATCATTCTTCTGAAATAGTGGAATTTTATTTTTGCATTGTAATGTTGATCTAATATTTGAGAATATGCGAAAAGATACGATGTCAACGAATCAGAAACAAAATCTATAAATTAGACCATCGACATCAGGATCTCTTTTTCTTCATTTTTTCGTTGAGTTTTGCTAAAGTATGAATTAAATTATAGGTATTGTGGTTTGAAAAATTGCAAAAGCAATGAACTACAGACGTTGCTAGCCTTAAATAAGGATTACAGCTGGTTTGTTTCTAAAGATCGTAGAATTTCAAATCAAAAGAAAAACTGCAACGTAAGTGCATATGTTAGCAAATTAATGTTGTTCATAAGGTATATAAACGATGTTTTCACAAAATTTTCACAACAACATGAATGATGGATCTAAAACTGTTCACTTGTCTTCAATAATTTTCTTATTTTTATTCTTTAATCGAATAAAAAAATGGGTTAGACCTCTAAAATATAGATGAGTGCACTTGCTCTTATGTTTGATTATGTCGAGATAAGCTACATATAATTTTTCACATTCACTGGCAGCAGAGTCAGCGTAACTCATGTTGCTGATAGCAATTGTGAATGTACAAAGTGTATGTAACTTATCTTGACCGTTTGATTGTGATTCACTTTAACTTGAGTGGATTGTGTCGTACTAATTTTGCGATTGGTCGAGGGCTAACCAAAAGACGAAGTAAACGAGGTAAACAATGATTATTTGATATTTTCTAATATTAATAAAATGCTGTATTGAAAAAAAACTGATTTCTGTATATACACAAGATCGTTAATCATGCTACAATCTTGTTTATAATTTTTCGTTTAGAGAATATTTTTTAGGATTTTTGATAAAACTTTAGGTTTCGGAAGGAAATCAATATTGCTTATATTTACATCGTATTGAGTAAAGGCTTCGATCAAGAACAACTTTTATTTTTACTGTTAGTGTAAGAGAAACTCAGCTACATATTGACCATTTAGGCGTGCTTTTAATATTTGTTTTAAATTTCATTTAACAAAAGACTTTGGGACGTCTAGTTTATTACGGAATTCGATACTGTTATTAAATATGAATATAAAGACGCCTTAATACTAGAAGACATAGAATAGTTCGAATACTTTTTTATAGATGAATTTTACTAGTCCACTCACGTGGAAAATAAACGACGTTTCAACCTGGTTAAAGACTTTTATTCCAAATGAAGAGATCATTACACAATTTCAAAGTGAGTCAAATAAAGTTAAAAAGCAATCTTTTTTTTTATTAACTTATAATTGTTTTCCAAAATTCTATTTATTTATCTATTTCTTGAATTGTAACTTAAAAGGTTCCCCCAACTACTGTGTTTCCGAAAAGATTGATTTCCAAGAGATTAAATAGTAGCTTTGATTTTGTGGTTTACAATATTAGACTGCAGAAAATTTTATATGATATTCATAAAAACATTTCTTTCTTTATTACGAGATTGAATAATTAAGTGGTCTAGTCATGTCCTCTAAAACCTTTTTATGCAAACTTTGCAACACCAATCGATCGTTTAACAAGTTTCATGATTATTTTCGTCATATTACCTTGTATCATGCTGATGAACCTAATTTTCAATTAACATGTGATTTATCAAATTCTTGTGGTGTAACGTATAAAAAATTTACGTCATATAAAATGCACATCCATCGACATCATCATTTCTTACTTAATTCATCATTTAATCAACAAGAAAATAATGACTTAGATGATATTGATCAATTATCAATCTAACAACCTGATACAACATCTGTAGATCCAGTTATAGTTGATAATACCGATGAAAATATAATATATGCCAATATTAATAATGATGATTTTGCTAATCAATGGAATATTTCATCAACAAACATTCTTCGTGAAGACAAGCAAATTAACCTTATTGCAGTTCAACAATTATACACACGCTTCTTACTTGAGATGAGAGAACAGCATATATTACTACAGACTATAATTCAATCAATTACAACATATATAGTAAATTTACTTGATATCATAGTGAATCTCGTTGAAGAACAAGCAAAAAAAAAGAATACCAGTCAACAATCATCAACAGCAGTAAATGTTTCAGTTAATGATATATGTACGACTATCAAAGATATTGAACAAGCTATTGTTTTTTCAACACGAAACGAATACCAATTTTTACAATCATGTAAAAATTTTTTTAACTATACGCCACCTATAGAAAATCTTCTATCATCAAATCAAATGAAAAAAGAATACTCTTATCATATTTCTATAAAACAATCATTAAAAAAAATTTTAGAAAAAGGTGAAATGTTACCATTTTTAATAGAAAACATTCGTGATCAAATTAATGCAACTCAGTGTGATCCGGATTTGATTTTTTCATTTCGAGATTGCATTAAAGATAAAAAATCCATAAGCAATCATTCTTAATTCAATTATATGTGGACGATATCGGTGTTACCAATCCTATCGGTCCAAAGAAAGGTCAACATAAATTAAGAATGGTATATTTCATGTCAGAAGATGTACCAGATTCATTTCGATCTATGTTGCAATGTATTCATCTTGCAGCAATTTGTTATTCGAAATATTTAGATAATGATGAAAAAATTAGAAAATTTTATGATCCAATTGTTAAAGAGTTAAATGATTTACAATTAACAGGTTTAACTATAAATACGTTCAACAGTCAACTACTTTTTTCATTTTCAGCAATAGCTGCAGACAACTTAGCGGCTCATAATGTCGCCGGTTTTCAACAAACTTTTAGTTCTGGTAATTTTTGTAGAAGATGTTTAATTACCTATGAAAACCGTCTTATTCCATTAACTGATGTCCATTTTATCCAAAGAACTTATTCACAACATGAGAAATGTTTACAATTACTTAAAAATAAGCCTCACATAAAATTTGTATCTGGTGTAGTTGGGCCAAGTCCATTAAATGATCTGCATAATTTTGATCCAACTAATTCTTTTCCAGGGGATGCTATGCACGATTTCTTCGAAGGTAATTAGCAACAAAATATAATTTTTCTTTGTAAAATTGCTTTTTCTTATTTAGGCGTTTGTCCTCTCATCATCATGGCAATGCTAAAAGAAGCATCTGGTTTACGATTAATTACTTTCAATGGAATTCAAAATAGAACGGAAAATTTCGTATATGGAGAATTCGATACATCAAATAAACCTCCACCTATACTAGTAAAAAATCTTAATAATAATCATATCGTTGGAAGTGCTTCGCAAAAGTACTGTCTTTTTCGTTTATTTCCAATAATTTTCTCAGATCTTGTTGAAAAACTGCAATCTTTTAAAATTTATCTTGTTTTACGTGAATTATTGGATATGATATTAGCTTTTCCACGAAGAAAAAGTTGGTTACCTTTTATGGAAACGTTGGCCATCAATTTTCAGTGCATGATGGTAGATCTTCTTCCAGAAAAAGTGACACCGAAAATCCATTATGTGACTGAGTATCCAAAAATCATTGAAGAAAATGGTCACCAGTTAGATTCTGGTGCATGCGATATGAAGGTGCTCATTTATATTTCAAGCAAATAGCACTACAATCTAATAATTTTAAAAACATTCCCAAGACATTGGCTCAACGACAACAACTACGTCAATGCCTTCTATTGTCAAATTGTCAATTCTTGAAAACATCCGAAGAAGCTCGTGGTGTTAAACAAATTCATATACATCAAATAGATTTTAAAATCAGGACTCTTCTCATTCACGGTTTGGACAACAATTAGCTCAATTTGATCAAACGTTACTTCGATTTTCTGAACTGATTTATAATCATATTATTTATAAACAATATGCGGTTTATGTTTACGATTTACAACATGTAGAAGATATTCCATTATTTTTTCAAATACATTACATATTCAAGTATAATCAACAATGGATATTTATAGTAGATTTTCTAAATACTGATGGATTCAGTACAAAATTATGGAGTTACAAAGTCAGCTCATGTGATCGTCTTGGAATTGTTTCACCAAATGATTTAAAATATTTTCACAAAGGACTTGATTTGTATGAAGTTGATCAACTTCATCTTGTTAATTTGACATCGAGATTAACAAAACAGAATTAAACTTTTGAGGGTGTGGGTGTGGGTGTGGGTGTGGGTGTGGGTGTGGGTGGGTGGGTGCGGGTGTGGGTGGGTGGGTGTGGGTGTTCTTTCGAGAAACATTTATACCCACACCCACACCAACACCCACATCCACACCCACACCCACACCAACACCAACACCCACATCCACACCCACACCCACACCAACACCCACATCCACACCCACACCCACACCCACACCAACACCCACACCCACACCAACACCCACATCCACACCCACACCCATACGCACACCCATACGCACACCCACACCGAATTTCCGATAGAGTACTAGGAGTATGTAAGAAGAATCCATGTCCCAAAACTGTCATCGATATGGGCACTAAGATCTTGTCCAAATTCGACACCATAGCTGAGAATTCGACCGAACCTCTAGGTTCTCTCTGAAGTGCAGACCGAAGTTGAGGCCAGTTATTGAATCATAACTGAAACTGTGAGTGAACTGGTGATTGGGATCAGCTGTCTATCTGAGACACAAGCTAAAACTAGTGAATCGACTAAAACCAAAACCTGCGTAGCTTCTGCGATTTTTAATCAAAACCTCAACGCTACGCAGACGTAGCCAGGATAGTCGTCTCCAAACACGTTCGAGATGAGCACTGTGGTCAGGTCTGAAACTGTCACTGTAATTGAGAAGGTGATCAAACCTCGAATGTAGTCGGAACCTGAGACCAGCAATTCAATCGCAGCTGAAACGAAGATGAGTACCGATTCGTGAAAAGCTCCGGAATGGATGCAGAACCAGGAGTGAAATTTGAATGGGTCACAGAATCGACTCTGAAAGCTGGACAAGAAGTGAGACCCGACAGAGTTCGCGTTTCACACAATCAGCTCGATAGACCTTGGGATCAGGCCTGAAGTCGATAATGTAGCAGATTATGCGATATGGACTGTGAGTCGCGTCTGAAGTTGAATGCCCACGGAGATTGGTAACAGGATGACAACTTTAAGTGCAATATAAATGAGAACTATGACGGGAACAGCAATCATAATCGAAACAAAGATGTACATGGTGACGAGAATGGAAACATGAACGAAGATGGTGGTCGATACGTATACTGAAACTGACATCCGGGTCGATACTGCGACCGAGAACAATTCTAGAAGAGAACTAATATTAATACCGAGACCGGAAATGCATCTGGATCTCGATCTTTGATGATATACATGGTCATGAACATGAAACACTTGTAGAAGTAAGGTCAAAAACCAATATCTTCTCGCATATGTGGATGGGACATCTGATGCTTGGTTCAATCAGGATCATGGTATTGGACGGTATAGTATTGCTTGTCCATTGCTAATATTTTGCTGATACTGTGCAACGATGGTAAAAAACCAAGTAAAGTAGTGTTATAGTGCATAATTTTTCTGTCTTCGATTCACGCTATTTTGCATCGTTTAAGCTGTTCGAACGATGAGTAATAGAACAAGCAAAACGACGATGATATTTTTATGGGGAAAAAACCATGTATCTCATTAATATATCTTAATGAATGATAGAACAAGCAAAACGAGAATAATATTTTCATGAGATAAAAATCAGATATCTCATTAATATACCTTAATGAATGGTCGAACAAGCAAAAAGACGATAGTACTTGTATGAAATAAACAAAGTATCACAAGCATATTTGATGATTAGTTATTTCACGGACACGAATGAAAGCACACAAGCCAAACTTATATTATTAATGTACATCGAAGAAACGTCTTGTTTTTATCTCTAGTATATAACAACGTCGATATATTAGTGTTATTCTGGTCATCAGCATACAAAATTTCGTATAACACAGAGAGCAAACGTAAGTGTTTTGAAACTGCATTTTCTTCAGAGGACGATTTTTATCATCAGTATCCAATGAATTTTTCTATGCTTAAATAGTACCACTAAGCTTATATTATTTTTTTTTCAAATCATAGTAATTATTTTCCTGTGAGCAAAAATGCTCCAAAATTCTGTATGAAATGAATAGCAAATATTAACTATTGTAAAGCCACGCTTGTCACAAAACGTCTGTAGTAGAAGGTGTTAATCAAGTTTGTGAGGTCCCATGTAGAAAAAAGACCGTTCAACATTATGTTTTTTTTACCATTCGAAGAGGTTTGACCTCGCTGACAATTAGATATGATATTGTACAGATAAAAACTACTTCAGAAAATTTTCGTAGAGGGATTTCTCTTCAACTGAGTTTTGGCGAAGAATTTGCTTAAGATATTGTCTTTAGAGCAAATAGTTCTCATTAGATAACAACTGTTTGTATGATATCAACAAAATCTGAGTCGGTCGGTTTTGGAAAAACCGTGTTTCTCCTAAAATGACCTTGCGGTTAGGATTATCAGAAAATTCTCAAGTCATAATGACGAAGTGGGAGAGATCTGTCCGACTTCCGTGAATTCCGAACTCTTGAGGAATTCTTGAACTCAGAAATTATTTAACATGTACGGGCACTAAGAAATCACAGTATGAGCTGGCGTAAACACATTCAAGAATCCCAAGGAATTCAAGGATCCCAAGGATTCCAAGGATTCCAAGGATTCCAAGGAGCCCATGGATTCCAAGGAGCCCAAGGATTCCAAGGAATTCAAGGATCCCAAGGATTCCAAGGAGCCCAAGGATTCCAAGGAGCCCAAGGAGTCCAAGGATTCCAAGGAGCCGAAGGAGCCCAAGGATTCCAAGGACCACAAGGAGTCCAAGGAGCCCAAGAAGTCCAAGGAGTCCAAGGAGTCCAAGAAGCCCAAGGAGTCCAAGAAGCCCAAGGATTCCAACGAGCCCAAGGATTCCAACGAGCCCAAGGATTCCAAGGAGCCCAAGGATTCCAAGAATTCCAAGGAGCCCAAGGAGCCCAAGGATTCCAAGGAGCCCAAGGATTCCAAGGAGCCCAAGGGTTCCAAGGGATCCAAGGGTTCCAAAGAATTCAAGGAAGTCAGGGAAGCTAAGGACCCCAAAGCGCTCAATGAATTCAAGAATATGCAAGAACGTAGGGATGCGATGGGTATCAAGAAACTCAAGGAGCAGCAGGATATCAAGGGATCCAAGAAAACAGTGAACGTCTAGACACGGAGTTGTCTAGGAAATGGATCTTGAATTGAAAATTGTTATTAAATTTACGGCCACATTCGGAACTAAATGGGTAATAATGAGACGGAGAAGGCGGAAAACCGTTGACAATCCAAAGCTATGAGACATGTTCACGAACTTGTTATTTTTACGGTTTCAAAGATATAGCACAGACGAGACTATACATCACACAAATCGCATAAACATTCAAGCTGAGACAGACATGACACAAAAATTGTAGAGTCCTCTCTCCCTGAATTACCTATCTTTCATCGAAATGCAAGCAGGGACAGGGCGCTCAAGAATTACACAGCGATATATATATATATATACTAGTGAGAACCCGTGCATACTGCACGGGTAATTTCGCCTTTAACGTATGAATTCAGACGTTTAACTTTTTATCCAATAACAAGCATACAGATACGCGATATTGTGTATATAGATCGAAGCCATACGGCCTCATACTCTTGTATCACACATATTTTTATAGTCCATGTAGCGTTATGTCCTTATAGCCTTATATCCCTTGTACCTCTTGTAGCCTTATTCCGTTATTGTCTTACACCCTTCAAGGCCTATGGGTACCCTATAGAACGGCCCTCGAGAATCCATGGGTGCCCACATATAATAGCCCTTGAGAGTCTGGCCTATGGGTACCCCCATATAATAGTCCTGAAGGGCCTATAGGTCAAGGGGGAAAAAGCTGACTCCAGTCCTTTGGAGTCCCTTGGAGTCCTTTGGAGTCCCGTGGAGTTCCTTGAAGTCCCGTGGAGTCCCATGGAGTCCCGTGGAGTCCCGCGGAGTCCCTTAGAATTCCATGAAGTCTAATAGAACTCTCAAGAGTATCATGAGTAAACCTTATAGCTGCTTCGCGAAACTCTTTTATCTAGCTCTCTTTCATCACTTTGAACGTCAGGAAGAAAAAATAATTTCTAAAATATATGAACCTTTGGTGGAAACACATTTTTTCATCATCTTTTGTCTGCATCAGACTAAACTCATTCTATAACTATCCTTCGAATAAAATAGCGCTTCTCTTTGACTGTATGTAATTCATGTAATTCATCTATGCTGATTAAATCATCCATTGTTTAGGAATACCTTTAGGTTCTCGAGTCCTATATAATGGGGTACCCAGAGGCTCTCAAGCCCTACATCATGACGGCACCTTTAGGCGCGCAAGTCCTATATAATGAGTGTATCCTTAGGTCCACAAGTCGTATGTTATGAAAGTACCTTTAGGTCCTGAATTCCTATTTAGCGGAATACCTTTACATCCTCGAGTCCTATATTATGACGATACCTTTTGGTGCTGAAGTCCTATATAATAGGGTATCTTTATGTCCACAAGGTCTATTATACAGAGGTACCGAAGAGTCCCCAAGGACTATTGTACAGAATTAGAGATAGATCCTCAAAGCCTATACGATAGCCGTACCGACAAAATATCAAGCGGTATTATATAGGAGTACTCATAGTGCCCGCAGAGCTATACGAGAGGAACAACCATAGGTCTTTACGCACTCTCTCGCAAGGGTAGCCATAGCCTCTCAGAGCACGTAGCAAGCGAGATTCCAGTAGTATGTGCCTTGAGGATCTCTATGCCCCATTTACTACGTGTTTTGAGGAGAATCCCCGAGTTGGGGAATGACAAGCCTTGTACGTAACGAACTTCACACTTTCTGCAAAAAGCATTGATCATACTTTCTAGGAAATCGATAACAACACTATCGTAGAAAACATGGATTATCTAAACTTCGCTAATAAGACTTTCGTCAAGAGGACATTCGTCAATGACGAAAATCCAGGGATATATTGGTGAAAGTTCACTGTACTTTTGTCAATTGGCGAAATTCCAAAGAGGACACTGGCGAAAGTACAGTGGACTTTCGCCAAA